TGATTCCATAGCAGAGAAGCCTTAAGTAGCTTTTGATCATCATCATTCCAGAAATAGAGAAGGAAAAATAAAATCCATTTATGTCTATTGGCAGCAGCCAGAAAGCCAACTCTGATCACAACCAGAGCCATGACAGGCTGAGTTTTCTTTCAGGGGAGGGAGGGAGGGAGGGAAAAGCAGCTGATGAGACTTTTCAATCAGCTCCAGTCACCTGCAGACAACTCACCCTGGGTCAGCTGGGGCCCATCAGGCCCTGCAGTGAAAGGTTGCAAGAGCATGTCCAAAATTCTGATCATTCAATATTCACCTAAATTTGGAGGATTTAATATTCACCTAAATTCTGATCATTTGATATTCACCTCACTGGGAAATGCTGGCTAAAATTTGTGGTATTTAAACAATGTTTGACCCTCCCTTTGCTCTCTGATCTCTGCCAGCTGGGAAGAGGGAATCTGCCTCCTCAAGCTGGGGCTGTCCTTTGTATATGGAATGATTTAGGATGGAAAAGGCTTTTAAATCATTTGAGTGCAACTGAACCCCTCAGACCCTGCAGGGAGCCTGGTAATTCATAATAAACACCCCGTGGTTTAATGCTTACCAGAGAGTAAAGTGGTATCCTAATGATCCTACCTTGGAGAGTCCAGAAATGGGGAATATTCCCATGGAACAGCTGAATACACTGATGGGTTTTAGCAGCACATTCAAGTCCTGGGGCTGCAGGCAGGACAACTTGTTCCAGCTCATGTCTGGGAAACAGGGGTTTTTCCTCCAGCTCTCTGGAGCCCTCACAAAACTCCCCCCTGCCTACCAGCACCTCCTGAATCTTCCTGAGAGGACAAAACTTCAGTGTGACATGGGGGAAAAAAAAATAAGAGGAAGATTCAACCAGCATTTCATCAATCTTGACTAAAAGATAAAATGCAACAGTGCAAAGAACTGAAGACGTACACCGAGGTTATCACATAAAATTAAAAGCTTTTTAGTGTTTAAAATAGCATTTACACATAAGCAGCTATATATTAACTATACAGACACTTGGGTTTTAATACAATATCTACAAAAAAGAATTCAATTATGCAATAGACATTTAACAGGAACAGTGCAGTCCATGCTAATAAGAGGTCACTCTTTGAGTAGAACCAATTCTAGGATAGGTGATAGTCTGGATTTTCATTATTTAAAATCATGTAACTTTGTTCCTCTACTGTACATAAAATTCTTTACATGTATTTCTAATCACTGATTAGAATTAATAATTTTAAGTCAATCTTATTACAATCCAGTTAAATGCAAAAAACAAAAACAATTACATCAACTCATGAGCTGTCAAGTCTCAGGAGGGGACTGCCCACTTGAAGAGAACAAAAATAATAGCAAAAGTCAATGTCTGTGCATCATTGCTTGCCATCCAATAAACCTTTGGATAAAGTGTCCAGGGGACTGTTACCTTGGAAAAAGGAGATTTATTAATAGGAGGTAAAAGACAATAGCAGTGCTTTTAAGACTTATTTGCCAAAAACTTTACTCCTCAGAGTTAATATACCAGGTGGATACACTCCCCCTACAGATCCTGCCTCCTTTGGGGAGGAGATGTCATCCCAAACTGTTTCCTCATCATTTTCCATGATCCTCCAGACAAACCTGCTGTTAAATCTGTTGGCAGGGATGTGTGAGCCTTAAGCTCAGTCGAGGGTCTCACTTCCAGAATAAAAATGTCAGCCACTGAAGGCTCCTGATTTGAGGTTGTTTCAGTGCCCTGCACAGCAAACCCCTCGCTGGAGTTGGAGCTCAGTCACTGACATTAAATCAGGGATAAATTTGAGGCCCTGGTGAGAGAAAACAGATGGATCTGCAGCACTCCAGCCTGCAAACTTCCTTCCACCTGGCACAGCAGGGAATGCTGTGCCCAACAGGAGACACTGGCACAGGCAGGTCCCGAGGCCCCCCTTGGTGGAAAGACACATGAGCATGCACTGAAAGCCAAGGATGGGATCTGGGAAATCTCCTGTCTCTTGTGAAAATTGGGATCTAGCAAAGATTCAGGCCTGACCTTCCACTCACTCCACCCTCTCCACTGGACACTACAGGGGGGGATCAGGGGTTTGTTTTACACACAGTGGCCATCACGTATTGCACTGTCCACACAGGGGCATCTCCACCCTCCTGCTCTCCCTGCAAACAGCAGGTTCCTCAAGGACCAGCACCCAGCACACCCAGAGCAGTGGATGCCTGTTGTGGGTGAAGCTGCTTCAGCCTGAATTCCTCAGCAGACTAATGCTTTCCCACACCTGGGTTATGGATTTGCAGCCTCATCCCAGAGTGACCCACGAACACACAAGTTTATAACACAGTCATTTCAACATAGCAGCAAAGACCAGCAAGACACAGAACAGTTTCTGCCAACAGCATTAACAACAAGACCAAAAAAACAAACAAACAAAAAAATAAAAACAAACAAAAAACAACCCAGCAGGTGTGTAAACTGCAACTCTTGGAAAGACATAAGGAAATAAAACACGTTTCTTCCACGGGTGAAAGCTCAGCCCCCAGCTTTAATCCCTTTTGGAAATATTAAAATGAGAGTCTTTTCCCCCAGCCCTCCAAGTTCTGCCTTAAGACAGAGCGGGCCAGAAAAATCAATATATATAAGAGACCAGAAAAGTTTTAAATTAATTTAAAAGTAGAACCACTAGTGATTGTCAGTAAAGTCACAGACTCCTTAACAGTGTCTCCTGGAGACATAGCAGAATTACACCATTATTTTACCCTGATTTACTTCATTGCTTTCAATGTCAATCTTTCAGAATAGGTTACCAGGTTAGGGTAAGCATCTTTGCTGTGGAACTGGGAGGAGGAAAGGAAAAGAAAGGTACTGTTTGCACAGTCAAGCTCTAGGTAGTGCCACTCTTTTGGAGAAGCCATCAGCCACGTGGCAATCCATGCCAGCCCATGGGATGGATGATGATGAAAGCACTGCTTTCAGAGACATTAGGCAGCTTTTTGGGAGGTTTTTGTAAAGAAAACTAGTTTAGAAGGCCAGTAAGGGGAGTACCTAGTCTGAGTGACACAGAGTTTCCCAAATGCCTGGTTCCCTTTTGAAGGAGAGACTCGAGTCTCCAGTTAACACAGACGTTTGGAGCTTTGGCTGGAATCGTTACCCTGGCTCTGACAAAGGGATGTGTTTGCACACAGACCTGGAACAGGGAAAGAAGTGAAAAATCCATCAGGATGAACAACACCCAAAGTGTCTGAAGAGTCGTTTTTCGGGGTGACAAATGGACATGGAACTGTGTGTGTATCCTGAGAAAGATGTTCTCTTTTGGCCTTCATCTCGGGCGTTCACGCTACCCACAGAGCACGGGACGAACCAAAGAGCAGCTTCTTACCAGTGAAAAAAATGCTTATATACAGTCAAGACTGATCTTAAAGCACCTGTCCTAAAACCTGCCAGCAGCAGGCACCTCAGAAAGGAGGATTTAACTGAGGCATGGCCCCGTGGCCAAATGCCACTAAGTGGCTGCAGCTCCCCACGTGTGTCCCATCAAATGAGGCACCGTGACAGAGCGTGGGTGTGCTCTCACCATACCCTCCTTCTGACACCTTAAAAAAAAAGCTTCTTACACACCATTGAAGGCTCCTGAACTTGCTTTATCAAGTGTCCACAGCCTCAGAGCAGGAACCACACAGAAATGAAACCCTGGGGATGTACAACAGCAGCTGCTTCAGTCAGGGCTCCTCAGCAGAGAGGGTCCCACTCGGTGTCAGGTGTAAGGGTTTGTTCGCTGTACCATTTGGGATCTGCTCTCAAAACACCCTCACACCTCTCTGCCAACAGCCAGCCCCTGTCTGTGCTCAGAAACATTCCCCTGGGACTGCAAGTGGGATTAGACAGCTCCAGGTTTCCATTGCAACAAAAAGAGAAAGATACTGCTCCAAAACGAAGGACAGAACAACAGGTATCAAAATGAAATCAAAGTGAAGAGCCACATCCCAGCAGGAGCCAGGATTTAGCTGGAATGGGATGAATATCCCCTTGGAAAGGGAAAAGCTGCAGCTACACTAACAGAACTGCATGGCAGCAGCTGTCCTGTTTCTGTGGAAATAACTTTTCCAAGCAAGTGCACATCCAGCAGGAACAGCCACATCTGTCAGCAGGGGTGGGACTGGAATGCCCAGGAACCGACTGCAGCTACAAAGTCACTATTGTGGTACTGAAGGAAACAACTTGACAAGTTCTGCACAATGAGCACATACAGTAGCAAGACTCCAGCACTCCCTTGATAGAATAATATCTAAAAAAAACAACAAAAAAAAAAAAAAGAAAAAAAAGAAAGAAAGGTTGATTTATACTCCCTAGTCAGCAGAAGGTAGCCACAACTTTGTTTTCCACTTGGGTCGATCCTGCTCCTTTCCAAACACATGCTGTCTGTACACTTGTGGGTGCAATGTCTGCTCAGTGCTATGGATGCATCCAAGAAACAGCATTCCAAGGCAGTATCACAGATACCAGCCAAGGGGTTGTTTTTTTCCTTGTAAGAGAAAAAAAAAAAAGCAGGGAAAAATAAAAGTGCTCCTATGCAATATCGGGAATTTCGAAGTCGTGTGAAATAAAAGTCCTTGAATCAGCCAAAAAGATACACCAGTTGCACTGAAGTAGGTGCCACAATGACCAAAGCTCATTAAGATGTGAATATACACCAGCCATTCACAATCCAAAACAAGAGGAGGGGGGAGGGAAAAAAAAGGATAAAGAAAAGATGCCATTGGTTTGCTGATATTTAACAATCCCAGGAGATGTTTTTTTTGTTGTTCATTTTTGCGGAGGGAAATTTTTTTTTTTTTGTATTTTTCGCTCTGTTTTCTTGATTTTTTTTTTTTTTTTTTTACTGCAACACACTTTGCAAACAGGAAGGTGTGACATGCAAGACCAGCCAAGTCTCTTCCATTAAGTGTTCGACAACAAACCACCCACAAAAAAAAAACCAACCCACCCCCCTCTCCCCACCCCAACCCAGGCAGAGTCTGAAGGCACTTCCTCTCACATGATGTCTACGAAGAACTCACAAGGGTTGCCCATGGCCTTCTGGAAGGACTGGCGGCTCCCGGTGAGCTCCGGGGGGACCGCGCTCAGTTCCCGCACGGGAGGCCCTCCGGGGGGGCCGCTGGTCCCGTAGACTTTGGAGCCCAGCTTGGGGAGGCTGTAGAGCGGGGGCACCCCCGGGGGCCCCCCGTAGGAGTGGTGGCTGTGGTGGCTTCTGTCGCTGTGGGCGGCGGAGCCGTGGCTGCGGTGGCTGAGCTGGCTGGCGGGCCGGTCCCGGCGCGCGGTGCTGCCGCCGCTCCGCGCCGTGTGCTCCGACTCGCTGCCACTGCCCCCCGACTTGCGGTCCTTCTCCCTGCCCACAGCTCGCCTGCTGTTCTCGCTGGTGCTCCGGTTCGAGCCGCTGCTTTTGCTTCCTGGAACCCCACGGAGGAGGGGGAAAAAAGCAGAGAGAAGCACAGTTAGCCCATCGTCCGCTCCCGGCTCCCGCGGCGGATCCGCGTGGGACCGACGGCCGCGGCGAGGGCTGAGCGTGCCGGTGGTGGCTCGTGGGGTTTGGCAATGAGGGGCAGTGGGACGAAGCTGACAGGGTTGTGCCATGCACAGGGACACGGAGACACCTCAGAGCTCGCACAGTGAAAGCAGCAGCTAAAGAACAGCTCCTGGCTGGAACCCACCCGCCCCACCGAGGAGGAGCAGGATTTGGGGTTGGACTCAAGCAAATGAGGTTCAATCTGTAACTGTCTCTGCTTTGGTACCTTCTACCTTTCCCAAAAGAAACTCCTTTGCCTTCTCTGTCATCCTTGGTCTCACTGGGCACACTCGCACCCTGAGGTTTTGTTGGCTTCAGTGGGGAGATTCTTTTCAAATGCACTGCTACAGTGGTCTGGTGTTGGAGAATTCTTTAAACAACAGTTACCTGTTGAACTGCTCTACAGTAACGTGCAGGATGTTCCCAGAAGAGGCCACTAAATCAGCTTGGAAAAAAAGTATTGCCACTGGACTGTCAGCTGAGTTGTTGCTACGTACAAACTTCACTAAACTTCAGAACTGATTTTGGATGAAAGTTGAAGGTCTTGCTCTGTTCCCATGAGAGACAGGCTGGGATGATGTCAGGACACAGTCCCAAGGGAATTATTTTTTTTAAAAAACCCAACAAATCAACCCAAGGACCATCTCATTAAGTTCATGCCACCTTAGAGCAAAATTTTCCAAAAAAGGATCCCCAGCCAGCAGAAGAGGGGACCAGCTTTTGAGTCCAACTGAGCCACTGAAATGGAAGAACCAGAATGATTGTGAACTACAGGTGACCTTCTGCTTGCTCCTGTTGACACAGGAGATGGGAAACCAGACTGGCCTGGTGTGTAACATTCCCTGCAGAGTGCCAGAGATGGAAAACACAGACTACAAAATCACTGGGCTTTAATTTAGAAGTGTTCTGAGCCCGGGACTCTGAAGTGCTGTTTGCTGATTGTTAGGATGTAACCCTGCTGATAAAGGAGAGGGTTCACAGGAAACCCAACTCTAATATTCCACCCTGGGAGTGACCAACACAGCCCTGTGTCCCTGCACTCTCAGCACCTGCCTGAGACATCTGGCCACCAAGTAAATGAGCAGTGGCAGATAAATCCAACCCACACGGGTGACATAAATCAGGAGCAGGGACTATTTGCTCATTTTATGAGGAGCAGTGGGGAGCCTGGTGACACCTGACAGTGAGGGACGTGGTGCCACCCCCTCTGAGCTGCTGCAGCACAGTCACACAGGGGCCACACAGGTTGATATGCCAATGTCACACTACTGCACTGCCGTGCACTGAGACAGGTCGAGCGTCCGAGACAATCAAAAAGAAAATAAAAATCAAAATAATAATAATAATAATAATAAAAATAATAAAAAATACAGCTAAACATTTGGGTCACGAGAGTCTAAATGGTCATGCTGTGGATTTGTTATGGAGGCATTTGAAGCTTACCAATCCCCTTAGAGTCAGCCATTCCTCTAGGAATCCTTCAGTCTAATGCTTGCTCAGGACAAAACAAGGGAATAACAGTTACAAGCCAAGAAACAACACAAGAAGTGTAGTTTCCAAAAGAAGAACAAGGAAAAAGCGTCGAAACCTTTCAAAAATCAAACACCTTGGCACCTTCTGTGAGGCTCTCTATAGCCAGGGGACACAGCATGGATAAAACACCATTCCTTTCCTATTCCAGCAGCAGAACAAATTCCTGCTGCCCACAGAATCAGCTGCCAAAGAGCACCCCCAACATTCTTTGCAGTGCAATCAGTTCTAAAACCTCTAGATGCCACTGTGAGCTTCCTCACAGCAGAAATTCTTATTCTGAGAAGCCACAGTGCTCAAATCTTGTGAGCAAGCTCCTGTCACGAAATTATTTGTGCAGCTTTTGTAAGATCTAACTGGCTGTGGCAAACAGGGATAAGTTACATCCCAGTTACTGGATGTTCACCGTAAAAACACAGAGAAACCTCACCCTTTCTTTACTGGCAGCATTTCCAAAAGCAAAACTCACTCTGGAAGTGATTTTTTTTTTAAAAAAGAAATTAAAAAATAATATCTTTACAGTGGAAAATACGTAATTTTTGTTTACTAAGGTTAAGGATGAACAACAAAATTATGCTAGGGCAGGAAAGGAGGAGGTCAGGTCTTTAATCCATGCAGTATTCTCTTTTTTCCCCTGTCACACATGACAGAAGGGACTCTCCTCCCTGTGAGCAGTGTTTCAGCCCTGTAAACCTCTGGCTGGCCACCTCCCTCTTGTGTGTCTCACACAAGCCAAGAACGTGATTTTCCTTTTGTGCTGAGTACTGAAGTGAAAGCCAAGAGCACCTTGTTCTGATCCCTGTTCCATCAGCAAAGAAATGGCCTCATTTCCAGCACTATCAGCCTGGCAATTCCTGACTGGGATAAAACAAGGCTGGCAGTTCCCATACAGAGCTGAAAGCCCACTCCACCACAGACACACACACCTCTGATCAAGTGCTGTTGCACAAAACCCATGCAGGTAGCAAACAAAACCACAGGACAGGCACAGACAGAACGAAGGAACGCAAGCAAATGGATCGGGATAATGACAGGCACGGAAATAAAACCCGGATTAACCAGCCTACCTTCACTTTGCTGGCTCCCTGCACTGCCACTGCCATAGCTAAAGCCTGGGTCTTGGTATGCTGGTGGAAAACACGGAGGGGGCAGAGGATACTGGTAGGGGTATCCTTGGCCTAATGGCCAGGGAGCAGCAGGATGTGGGAGCGGAGCGAGGGTGTCCTGATCCGAGGCGCCGCTGGAACCGTTGTTGAGGTTCAGTGCAGCCAGGTCTGGAAAAGAGAGAAAGGGTGAAGACTCTGCTCTCACCTGGCAGGGGAGAATTCTACAGCTTGGAAATGGAGTGGCAGGTCTGTGGCATCACCAGAAGTAAATCCTGCCTGCCTGAGCCTCAGTGCAATGAACTTGAGGAGTTCACCCTTCTCTTCCAAGTGCTCTAATTCCTGGTCTAACAGGAAGCATTGACCACTTGTCCCACAGCTTCAGAATATGAATGACCTGTTCTGGAACTCACAGAATCCCAGAACAGCCAGGGCTGGAAGGGTTGCAGATCATCTGCCCAGGGCGGGGTCACCTGGAGCAGGCGACACAGGAACACATCCAGCTGGGTCTGGAATGTCTCCAGAGAGGGAGACTCAGAATCACAGAATCGGCTGGGTTGGAAAAGACCTCTGAGATCATCCAGTCCAATCTCTGCCCTTGTCAACTCCACGCCCTCCCTGGGCAGCTGCTCCAGTGCTCTGCCACCCTCCATGGAAAGGAAGTTGAGGACACACCTCTGTGCATCCTGTGAGCACGAGGGGGGGACACACAACACAGTTCTGCCCTTCCCAGAGGGGAACTTACTGCCACAGAGGTCTCCAAAGACGTAGTAGCACTGCTCTGAGAAGGTGATTTTGTTCACAGTGTGCCTGAGGTAGCCGTGTTTTAACATGCTGCTGGCGTATTTCCTCGCCTCCCGCCGGTCTTTGAAGCCTTCCACGTGTGTGTAAAGCCAGTCAACCACATCTGCTCCTGCAATGACAACAGGGAGAGGAGGCCCGGGATCATCTGAGCCAAACTGATCCACCACGTGAACGGCGACACCAAATACATGCACAGAAAATTTCATTTACACACGTTGTGCAACTCTTTCATGAAAATTACACAGCACTTCCAGACAAGAAGTGACTGGGAGAGTCACCCTCCTCAAGAGGCAGATGTCAGGTTGTCAAAAGACCTGTGTTCCAATGCCTTTCTCAGCAAAAAGTAACTGCAGCCTAGACTGACTAAACGTTAGCACAGCTCAGGCCACAGGTAGAGACTAGCTGTGGTAATTTTAAAATTAATTAAGATGCTTTATTTAAGGTTGGAACTGGAATTCCAAGGACTGTTGCTCTGCTGAGCTTGGGCAGATTGCTAGAGCCACCTGAGCACCTGAGATATAAAACCAAGGATTAAGAACCAGGCTCTGTGTGGGCATGAGAAACGTGCAGCAGTTTTGACTGTCCAGGCTCACACAAGAATTATTAATTATTTCCTGTCACACTCAGAGCTGCTCATAAATAGCAAGTCAAGGGAATTTAAGAGGTCATAGGCAGAAAAATAAAAAGTTCACATAAAGGTAGCTTCTTGAATTTATTTTCATAAAGTCACTGGGGTTTTTTCCCCCCAGCATTCCTGGGATCTGCTTACCTATCACTGCATTGGAGATGGTGATTTTTAACCACATCCTGTCCCGAATTTCAAGGCCTGAGTCTGGGAGCTGCATAACCTTGACAATAGTAGCCATGTCACTCTTCACAGTTAAGGGAGATTCTTCTAATTCTAAAAGGAAGAGAGGTTACAGGCTGCTTTGAAATGAAATGAGTCTGAAAAGTCCTTCTCAGCTCCCCATTTGGATGAAACAAAGACACAGTTTTACCAACAGATGCAAAAAAAAAAAAACCAAAAAAAAACCCCACAAAGGTTCCCAAATGCACCCTCATCCGTGGCATAAATTACAGCATTTGCACCAATTCTTCAGGTTTTGTGCTCTGTGCCACCAGTTTAGTCACTGAAACGCTGAGCCCCCACGTGCCCGGATTTCCCATTCCAGGGAAATCAGCGCTGGAATCCACACTGAGATTGGCAGGAAAGGAAACCCAGGGAGTCCTGTGACCATCCCCTTCCATTTCACTTTGCCACGAACAGCCCTTCCCACCCAAGGGATCAGTGCAGAACTCTGTGGGACAAGGTTTTTTCACTTGTTCTTTAACTTCTGGGTTAACTCTCAGAGATAACCCATCTGCACGGAGGAGGAGGACAACCCTGCCTCAATCAATATCCTCTTTTTTTCCTTTTTTAAGACTTGGACATCAGCATTCTCGGGGAGAACTGAAATTAGAAAAGAAATCTTCCATCATCAGGAGAAAGGCAAGTGGTTTCCTTCAAAAAAACAATTCCCAGGATCCCGGTGTTGGAGCCTTACAAGTGAACTCCACTTACAAGTCACTCCACCCAGAACTACTTTGCCCTGCATCTTTCCTGTAGAACACTTTTAAAAAAAAAGCTCCCAAATGCCTCCACAACCATCACTGCTCCATTCCCATTTCACACTCCCAAGGGCAGAGCTGGATCCTCAGAGGCTTCACACTGTCCTCATCGATTTTTATAGTAAAAGCAGAATAACAGGGCTGACACTGACCCTGCTGAACTGAGGTTCCCACTGTAGGAATCAAATTCCTTTAGAAAACCCTTGCCTGCCCAGAGGGTGAATCTGGGTCCAGGAATCCACCAGCTTCCCTGTGTTCTGTGCAGAACTCACTTATCCTGCCATACATAAGACTACTAATTTTAGATACAGCACCCAGTCCTCCTTCCTGTCCCATCTCCCAGCCCCAGAAAATTCACGCTGAACGTGTCTGTGTTTGCAGTCCAGACCCTTCTCCAGCAGGAACTCAGAAACCCTCCTCTCCCCTCCCTTCTCCCCATATCACCCACCTTTCAAAAGCACCAGGGAACCAATTTTGTCCTTTTCCAGCCACCCAGAATTTTGACAGAAGGTACAGCAAGCGTGAAACAATGAAAACTGAAAATGCTTCTTTCCATACATGCACTGCCAACAGGCATGAAAATACCTCAGAGCAGCTATGCATGCAGCTTCAATACTTACAAACTCTGAATAAACACTCAAATTTTGCTTTTGCTTTAAGTTAGTTTGGTTAGTGGCAAAAAGCAACATGTTCATTTGGGGAAAAAAAAATCAAAACCCAACAAACTAACATTTCAGTAAAGTATGTGGGGAGCAATAAATTGTATTTTCTTGGAGACCTGCACATAAAGAACAACACTGGCCAAATGGTCATCAGTGTTTTTTCTATGTTCTAAGTTGCTGGACAAATAAGGAAAATTCTAAGAGGCATCTAAAATGCTCCCAACTTTGGAGAGAACTCAGTGAACTGTGGGGTGTTCACAGAGGTGCTCTCTGTGCCTGGGGCCCTGAGGTGCTGCTGCCCCGTTTGGGGCAGGTCACAGGGCTGGGCTGAGGGAAGGCTGGAGAGCAGAAGGGCCACAACAAAGCTCAGGGGTACTCCACGTTTTCTTGCACTCCAGAAAGGAAATACTGGAAGTCACTGGCACAGAAATGAGAAGCTGTCTCCAGGAATGTGGTTCTGCTCCCAAATACCTTTATTTTCAACGTATGATTGAGAGGGGGGCTGTTCCCCACTCCCCAATCACAGCACCATAATCAAGGCACAGAATACATGGATCAAGAGGAATGCTGAGCACAGACTCTTGTTTGACAGCAACCAGCAGATACATTTGATCCCAGCAACCTGTAGCACCTGTAAGGCTGAAAACACACCTCAGGACAAAGCAGCCACCAGGGAAGGGGCTCACTTGCTTTCTGCTGCAGATGTATTTCCCCTCAGTGCTGCTGCCTGAGATCTAAAGGCACTGAGCTACCACACCTCCAAAAAACCCCTTCCCTTTTATTGCAAGGTGAGGTGTAATTCCAGGAAATATGAGCTTATAAAACCTGAGAGATTTTATAACCAACGCCAACATTGGTCTTCAAAATCCTCAAAGTGTGGTTTTGAGTAAAAGAAAGGAGGAGTTAACATTCCCTAAACAAACATTTCCAAGATAAGGCACCATGGCAGTTTCTTGGTCACGTGGATATGACTTAGTTTAGAGACTGCCACAGACAAACCAGGAAAGAAAGTTGAGCTCTAACCGTAATAATTTCACATGGGACATTAAACTTGTTTTTTCCTTGTTCAATACATTCTAAAAGTATAAAAAAAGTATAAAACAAGGCCATGGGAACATAGGGGGAAGATTTCCTAAATGGCACACTAACGTTATTAATCAGTGACATCTATCTGAAGGAACTTATTTAAATTTATTTAAAACCTTAGTAAATGATTAAATTTATTGAAGTGATTTCAATTTAATAAAGTAATTTCAATTTATCAAAGATATTGCAATATATCAAAGATATTGCAATTTATTAAAGATATTTATATTTATTAAAGATATTTCAATTCATCAAAGTTATTTCAATTTATTAAAGATATTTAAATTTATTAAAGTTATTGCAATTTATCAAAGATATTTCAATTTATCAAAATTATTTCAATTTATCGAAGTTATTGTAATTTATTAAAGATATTTCAATTTATCAAAGTTATTTAAATTTATTAAAGATAGTTAAATTTATTAAAGATATTTCAATTTATTAAAGATATTTCAATTTATTAAAGATATTTCAATTTATTAAAGTTATTTATTAAAGATATTTCAATTTATTAAAGATATTTCAATTTATTAAAGATATTTCAATTTATTAAAGATATTTCAATTTATTAAAGACACTGAAATTTATTAAAGATTATTTCAATTTATTAAATATATTTAAATTTATTAAAGTTATTTAAATTTATTGAAAAACAGCCCAATTCAAGGAGGGAGCTCTCCCACTCCCCTGAGGGGGCGAAGCCGGAGACCCGACTCGGATCTTTAAAATGGGGACCTTTCAAAAAGGGACCACGAGCTACTCCTTCCTGAGAGTGAACCCTGACCGAACACTGTGTTAACCTTTAAAGGAAAAAAAAATTTAAAAAAAGGTTTTTCTGCTCCCCACAGGAACCCCAAGTGCAAGGCAAAGCATTCAGGGGCTGGGTGTGGTGTGGTGGTTGCCGCTCTCATCGTGCTGGTGGCCGGGGCGGGGTTGGGGCCCAGCAGGCCCCGGGCACCCCCCTGCCCTGGGCTGGCCTCAGGGTGACTTACTTTCCGACTCGGGAATTGAGCTTGTTAGTGAGGAGCTGGTAGATGTGGTGATGCTCATGGAGGGGCTCATACCGTAACGGGGGTACGCTCCCGTCATGGCCGTGGTATGAGAGATCCAGGCCGCGGGGTCGATCGGCCGCACCGGCTCAGCTGCGGGAAACGGGGGGAGAGAGACACGAGGGGGTCACACACGAGGCACCAACACCTTCACAGTCCCAACACCTTCACGGTCCCAACACCTTCACAGTCCCAACACCTTCACAGTCCCAACACCTTCACGGTCCCAACACCTTCACGGTCCCAACACCTTCACGGTCCCAACACCTTCACAGTCCCAACACCTTCACAGTCCCAACACCTTCACAATCCGAACACCTTCACAGTCCCAACACCTTCACAGTCCCAACACCTTCACAATCCCAACACCTTCACAATCCCAACACCTTCACAATCCCAACACCTTCACAATCCGAACACCTTCACAATCCCAACACCTTCACAGTCCCAAGGGGTTTGCTTTGGGTCAGGCTGGTTTTCCCGAGGGCTTCACCCCCAGTCTGCATCAGGCTGGGGCATTCATGTCAAAGGGCAGTGCCATCCTCAGCTTCAGATGGGGACAAACTGGGCTCACCATCATGAGCTCAGCCCTTACTGGGAACAAACTGGGCTCACCATCATGAGCTCAGCCCTTACTGGGAACAAACTGGGCTCACCATCATGGGCTCAGCCCTTACTGGGAACAAACTGGGCTCACCATCATGAGCTCAGCCCTTACTGGGAACAAACTGGGCTCACCGTCACGAGCTCAGCCTTACCAGCAGGAGGCAGCTGTGTTATTAAACCACAAGTTTTAACTTGTGTTTTAACGTTAAAATGAGATCTTTAAAACAAGATCGTTTTCTACTGCATTAATTTCAGAGGACAGTGCCATCCTCATCTTCAGACTGGGAACAAACTGGTCTCACCATCACAAGCACAGCCCTTACCAGGAGCCAGCTGTGCTTGTCACATGAGCACAGATCTTTTATTGCTAGTGAAAAGCCACAAGTTGTAAAACTTGTTAAGTCACAAGTTACTGTAAGCCACAAGTTGTAAAACGAGATCATTTTCTATTGCATTAATTTCAAAGGGCAATGCCATCCTCATCTTCAGACTGGGAATGAACTGGTCAGCCCTTACTGGGAACAAACTGGTCTTACCATCACAAGCTCAGCCCTCACCAGCAGGAGGCAGCTGTGCTTGTCACATGAAAACAGATCTTTTATTGCTACTGAAAAGTTTATTGAGCCACAAGTTGTAAAATGAGATCATTTTAATATTATCTGTTAACAGAAATATATTCCAATATTCTACTAATATTACCTATTATATATTAATATGTATTTCAATATTAATTTTATGTATCTCTTTGCTGTTCACCTCAAATTTTTAAAAATATCGGTTTAAATTCCAGGAAGTGCACATGTGACAAAATGAGACTTTTTAACACTTCTGCATGGTTATCCTCCAAACTTCCTATCAATTGAAAGGTCAAGATCATGAGGATATACCCTCCAAAAGGTTAAGAGCTTGATCCAAATCCATGTGAATCAAAAGAAAAACTCCCAGGAATTCAGTGGGCACTGGAGTCTCAGAAAGGGATTTAAACCCCTGCCTCCTAAACCAAAAGCAAACAGACAACCAAACTTAAAAGAACTGAACTTGTAGGGAATAGGAATGTGTTGGATGTCAAAATAGGTGAAAATATTCTAGACCTTGAGGGCTCCACAGGAACCCAGCAAAGAGCCCAAATGTGTACTCACCCCTGGGGATGGTGAAATAACTCCTGGGAGTTGGGTCCCAGCATTTGGCTACTGTTAGGCTGATGGGTCTAGGAAGAGAGAAAACAGGTAAGGATGACTCTTAACTTTCCTGCACAGTTGGAACAGTTACAAGAACTATTTGAAACAAACTTATTCCTGTCCAACAGTTGTCAAGCACATTCTGAGAATGTTTTTGAGATGCTTGTTGAAATATTTCCTGTACGAACCAGTATCAGGATGCTTCTGGTTTTGCACAAGTGATGAGCACTGTGGGTGAAATCTGTTGAATGACCAGCTCTTGAGATACTAAAACGCTCATCAGGTAAAGAAATAGTGCTGCTGAAACCAGGTAGCTCCTCATTTGTGTTGGTTTTGGCTGGTGCATTGAAACCAGTCTCACCTACTCATCAGTACACTGAGAAGTTCAGGGCTGGGAACAGTCATGCTGGTTCCTAATGGAGATCAAAATGCTGGTTCCCAATGGAGATCAAAATGCTGCTTTCTCTAAGGTTTGCCCCATTTCAGTAACTGCACGTGGAGGATAAATAGCAGGAGGTTTTGCAATGTGCTCACCCTGGTTTGGAGACTATTTCCCGTAGAACCCGAACTGCATCGTCATTGCTCATGTTCTCAAAATTGACATCATTCACCTGGAACAGTGCAGAAAGCAGAGGTCAGGCTCTGGGACAGCAAACTTAAAGACATTTTAATTATTTGTGTCCCAACTTATTTGCCTTGTAACTGTTGCCATTCCTTTGAGCAGCTGCAGAAATGTCATTTCTCAGAGCGCATCTCACAAAGAACTCCCGATAACACCCTTTGTGATGCACTTCTCTGAGTAGGAATGAACTCTCTTAACTGATTACTATGGGCCTGGTGGGATGCCTGAACTGAGCCAGCCCTGTGGAAGCCAGTAGCAGGTATTTTGGGATGCTCTGGGACCAACCTGCAGGAGCATGTCTCCTGGCTCGATCCGTCCGTCCGCTGCCACCGCCCCTCCTTTCATTATGGAGCCGATGTAGATGCCACCATCACCCCGGTCATTGCTCTGCCCCACAATGCTGATTCCCAGGAAATTATACTTTTCTGTTGGGATAGAAAGCGGAGGGCAGGGAGGGAAAAAAGCAAACAGAGTGATTGGAATGACAGTGAAGCGTTAAGACCAGGCTACTTCAGCCTCAAAAAATCAGCTCTCTCAACAGATCAGCTGGGCCAGGTTTGGTTTACAATGATCTCAGGTTGCCCTAGTGGCCAGTGTCTGCCTGGCCCCTTCAGGGAAATACTGCTGAAGACATGATCTGTTCATACAGGATAATGAAAAGCTACATTAAAAAAAAACCAGCAAGAGAACCAACACTGAAAGGACACGCCTACACCTCGAAATTGGGCACCCCATCAGCATTGAGCAATGTTTGTTCCACACTTCGGAGTGGCAGGAAGGGTTTGGTGCCACTGAAAGCTGCTGAGCTACTTGGCAGCCCTGCACATTTCTGTCTGGTTAAACAATGAAACGCAGAACAGCAGAAACACAAACCTCCAGTTCCCTTCTGCCCTTGCTTCTGACAAAGTCTGACCCCTCACCATCCCTACACCTCACCACTAACTCCATATGCTGGAGTTCCAACCCTTTCCCTGGAAAGAACACTGCTTTGCTCGTGCAAATGGCTCAGAACTATCCAGCTCTGGACTAGGAACCCGGGCACAGTCAACACAGGAGCAACTCTCAGCTGCCAGTCCCTTTAGTCCACCTGGCACTCTTTCAAACCAAGGAACTTTCTCCTGGCTCCAAAGGCTACCCCACCACCACAAAATACATCTCAAATTCATCACAATAAACGGGGCTTATCCTCTTACCCATGTTGAGTGTGACAGTGATGATATTTAGGGACATGGTGGAATCGGTGATGCTGCTGAACGAAGACGACTGCAAAATACAACAGAGAATTCTCAAGGTTTTAAATGGCACAGAGTAAGACAATAAAAAGAACTACTGAGGATTAACTCATTAGGATTTGATTAATAGGTTTCCATTTGGAAGGCATCCAGAAGGTACTGTAAGGGAATCTGTAAGGGAAAGAAATCTGAACACAGTCTGCACCTTCCCCAAAGATTTGTTCCCAAAACACACAGAGCACGTTCCTATTTTGAGGTTTCTCAGCTGAACTTCACCTTGAATCCTTTCTGCTTCCTGCCTGTGACTGACAGGCAAACATTTAAACCCTAAAGTGCCCACTGCAGTGTGAATTATTGCATTCACAGCTCCTCCCTGAAGAGAGGGGTGAACAACACGATCTGCCAGGAAGTGAGAGGAGAGACACTCCCCTGCCTCCAAAATTAAATACAAATGTGCTTATCAAAGACCTGCTCAAACACTACCCCAGTTGTTGGGATAAAATGTATGTGAGCTCATTCTTTAATGTGTGAAGACTGGTATTTATGGGAGAACAGAACAGTTCCTCCAAGATTCTGTCATTTAGGCCATCCTCATCCTGCTGCCACAGCACTGGGAAAGGGCAAGAGAGAAGAGTTGAGATTTCCTATAAATTTAGATTTCTCCTTCAGGAACAATGCAGGTCTCAGTGATTTATACACCAGGCATCTGACACCCCTTCTCACATCAGCCAGTAGCATAATGAACCTTCTCCTGCAGGGACTGGTCTCGGAAAAGACAAGAAATGGGATCACTGAACAGCAAAAGGAAGAAAAGGAGCGGAATAAAACTCGACTCTGGTGCTGCAGAACTTCAAAAGTAGAGATTTATCCAGACTGGAGCCAAAGGGAGCCTTTCCAAAGAATTCAGCAGGCACAGACCTGTTCTGGATCCCTTCCTGAGCCAAGAGCTAAGCTCAGGAATCACGGTTCACCTCCTGGGAGAAGGCTGGGGCCAACCTTACCCTGTCGATCTGCCGCATCCTTTGTTTCCTCCTCCTGCGTTTGTGCTTCCGGATGAGCCGGGATGAGGTGCTTTGCTCCGTGGAGCTACTCAACCTGAGGGGGAAAGGAGAGCAGAGATGTCACCTCTGCAGGGCTGAGCCATTTGCATTTCCCTGCCAAAAAAAAAAACCAAAAAAAGGCTGATTCCAAACGCGGGAGAGAACAAATCCTGCCGACACCATCAGCCCGTTTGCAAGAGCGCGGAGAAGATTCCAGCTAAACTCCAGCAGGGACTGGAGGATAATTTAGTGGCTTCCCTTCTTTTGGGAGCAAATCTGGGTGCAACCCTTAATGCCAATTTTTGTGAGTTTTGTCCTGGTGCTGTATTTTCTTCCACTGTTAAGAGGAACTTAAAGTTAAGGCTTGAATTCAATGAAATAAGACAGCAAATAGTGACAGAGGAACAGGGAATATGATTTACCTTCACATATTCTGTTAGTTTTATCTTGTTGTGTTTTTTTTTTTTTTTCAAGTTCTTCAAACTTGTAGAACCTACATGTGCCACATTCTACACAGAAATCTTTAAGATTCCTCCAAGAGTTCAGAGCTTTAATCATCCCCAATTTACAGAGAGCGGAATGAGACACAGAGAGACATAAATGGATTTGCTCAAATTAATTTCAGGAGCCTGGAACAAAGCCTAGATTTCTCAGATACCACTATAGCACCACAGAGACATCTCTCCTCTATTTATTATGTTAAGAATGGGGGGAAAAAAAAAAAAAAAAGGAATGCTCCATCATTAACCAAGATTAAAAAATCCAACCCTGCACAAGGCAAGTAACTGAACTGGCACTGTCACAAAACAAACAGTGCCAGGCTTCTTCTTCCCCAGTCTCTCCAAGTTCCAGCCACATTCAGGAATGTGAGAATACCTCAAGGAAAACTTGATACCAGGAGCTTGGTGTCATGAGACTCCAGCCCACCATGGGAAACCCATCGTGCACAGAGTGGGGTGTCCTCACCAAGGACACCGAGCTGGGTGTTACAGAGGCTGGAGCTGCTCAGAGGGTGTGAATCTCCTGACGTTCCCTTTGAGTTCACAAAACTATTTCAGGCACGTTAACCTCACACACTCCCTTCTCTCCCCTCCCAGCAGAGGCGAATTAAAGAGCCAAGAGGTGGGATTTTCAAAAAAGAGATCAGAAATTTGATAATCCTCCGTTGGTGAAAACAGCTCAAAGCACCTGGGTTTGGGAGGCTTTGCCTTTCCAACAGGAAAAATAAGGAGGTCTCAGATCCAGGGCTCTCAAAACTGAACTAGTTCAACACCCACCACTCTCTCAAAAGCACCAGCAAAGAGTGACACAAAAACTTCCTCTTACATTTTACTACCAATATTCTCCCCCTTCCTATTTCCTCTCCAATTTCATTCTCCTCCTCTTCTCTCCCAGAATATCTCACCAGTAGGATTCAGCCCAAACCTTCCAGCACACAAGAATTTAGGAGAATTTGAGCAATGGAAAGCCAGGTTGCTCACAGTGAACCTGCTCTTTAAGAAGGGGATTTTCTTTTAAGTTAAACTAGCAAAATCAGAGGGTTTTGGCAATTCTCTGAACTTCTGTTACCAGATGATAATATGTGCAAAGTGAAGTTCTTCTTTCTATGGTATTTTTTTTGCATTCTACCCAATATTAGAGTGGAAAAATTGGAATCAGCTCCTTCAAAAAGCCTTCAAAAGGTTTAGTTCAAGACAGACAGTATTTCAGGGAAGTAACTCCTGGAGCTAAAACAGCCTCTCCCATTAGTTGCACAAAATTGATGAGGCACTGCAGGAATACATTTATGTATATATATTATGTAGCTATGGCACATTTCACCATCTTTCTTACAATTTCTATAAAATCCATAGCCTTCATGCATGCTTGCTGAATCCTTCATATTTTAGGAGTGTCTGGATGCTGAACAACAGCTCAAACCTATTCTAATGAGGAAAAATATTTTGCTCCCTGAAGTATCCTCAGAAATACTGAGCAAAAGTTATTACCACAATTTGATGAGCAAGACGAGATGGTATATTTGAGCTTTTGAGACAAACCAAGTGCAAAGATGAAAAACAAATCTGCAATCATCACTACCAAATAATTTCCTGCGCTGGCTACTGCCCAAGAAACCCTGACTGCAATTCTAACACAAAGGCTAATAAGTCCCACAGAAGACATTTTTTTAAATAATAACAATAATTTGACCAATCTATATCCCCCAAAGGAAGGGGGAAAAGGTAACACTTGTTAAAGAGAACTAATGCTAATTTCTTAAATGAGAAATAAACATCATCAAGTTTTTTGCAGTGAATTATCTTAGTTATACTGAACTGAGAATACCAGTTGCACATAGCTGACAATAATCCTACAGATGCCATCTCTCTTAGACCTTTGGTTGCTTAACAGATATAAAATTTTTATTGTAAAGTTCACCCTGGGCTCCCTACATCAACCTGTGTTCAAACTCCTGCCTGCAAACAACACCAGCATTCAATCATGTCATCCTTTGAAAAGAAAGCAAATAAATTATTGTGCTCACACTGCCATTCTGTACTGCCCTGTAACATCTGTGAACAAGTCAATTCACCAAAGTAAGACATTACTCTTTAACTGAATGCAACAGATTCTCCTTGGACTGGGAATTGCCCCACTCTGCTGCACTGCTCCAAGTTAAAAATAAAAATAAACCAGTGTCAAACACACCCAGTTAGAAAAGCATCCTCAACCTGCAACCTCTTCCAAGACAGTAACATCCCTTACATCTGATTTCTTCTCTCAGTGGCCTCCTCCCTGTACAGTCTCCTCCACAGAGCAGGCTGTGACAGCAGAGTCCCTGAGCTGTTATTCCCCAAACTTACCCCCTTCCTGCCCAGGCTGCCTCCAGCAGGTCTGGAGCATTCTCGAGGTGTTATTTGCCTGCGTTCGCCTCGGAAGAAAAAACTTCTCCCTGCCAGCACAATCTCTCATCTGCCTGAGAAACACCATCCCTGGAACACAACAGCATACCTTGGAGCATTCCATGGAGTGGTTCTTCCTGACTAGCTGGCCTGGCAGCTGCTCCCTGTGCCAAAAGCTCCTGTCCCAGCCTCGAGAGGGAAAGGCTGCGCAGCAGCTTCGAAGAATCTCTTTATTCTCGGGTCAGACGCAGGAAGTTTGACTTTTATTAACACAGAAAGCTTTAGCTGGGTCTGCTCTGAAGTGCTCCAGTGCTAATCCTGCCCCACTGCATTGCTTGCTGCCATGGGAATGATTAATTCATTTACAAGAAACCCCAAATCAGCTGCAGGGTTGTTGTTGTTTTTGTGGGCTTCGTTTTTTTAGGGAGGGAAGGAGGGTTAGAAGCCCTAAAGGCTTTAGGGAGGCTGAGAGTGCATTCAGGTTAACTGCTGATCTTGCCAAGCCTTTATGCACATGAACATCCAGGTGAAGCACAAAGCATCCAGAAGGGTAATTTTTTTTGTGTCTTCAGGTGTTGGGAACTTCATCACAGAATCATGGAATGGTTTGGGCTGGAAAGGACCTTAAAGATCATCTCGTTCCAACCCCCCCTTCCATGGGCAGGGACACCTCCTACTTCACTGCAACTGCAAAATAAGTTCTTGAAACTAATTCAGGAGCAAATCTTCAACTAAATCTTCATTTAGTTCCCCCTTCAGCACATGGCCTTTAAGCAGAATTTGGAGGAGCTGCTGTTCTTCAGCAGCTCTTCGAGCCATGACCAACTGCAGGACCAAACAGACCCACCGAGTTCAATAAACTGATGATGTTTGTAAACACAGCAAGTGGTTCAGTATCTCCAGGAGCTGCTCTTGCTGTTTCCATTCTACCTAAAATTTAAGAACATCACATTGCACCTTATTTGTTTTAGGCTGCAGATCTCCTTGAACCACCAAAGATCTACAATTTTGTTCCCTGACAATTCACAGAAATCTGTAACGGGTTTTCAACAGCTCCAGAGACACTGTTTAGAGAATGTTGCCAGGAAAGGAAAGGATATTTGTTTTGATTCATTTTACACCCTTAAAAATAAGCATTTTAAATCCGAGAAATATATTGGCTTATAAACCTTTTAGGGAACAACAAAAACGTCTTTAGAGATTTACAAGCATCTTTCCAAATGGAGAGGTATTTTTCAAGAAGTGAGGAGTAATTCACAGAAAGAAAGAAATAATGAAGGAGCCATAAATATATGGCAACCCAGCCTGCCTTTGCAATAGCATTAACTTTGATGAATTCCTGTACTGCTCACAGGTCTCAGACTATGCAATTACACAGGAATTCCTTTATAATTCAGCTCTAGTGAAGTGCACACTTATTAGGAACCTATGCTGAAGGTATTTTAATATAATTATTCACAGTATTACTTTATAAATAGGTAGGCAGTTGCACATTGCTTTGATCTTAAAATGTGACCATTCTTGCTGTTAAAAGGAAAGGGCAGGAGCAGAATTTCCTCTTTGTTGGAGCAGTGGCTACAGGCAGGTTGGAGAGTGACCCTGTAACTGAGCTTGGTTCTTAGAGCAGAGATTATTCACAACATGATGTTACTGATGAGTTATCACAGAGTCAACAAGGTTGGAAAAGACCTTTAAGATCATCAAGTCGACCCAACACCACCTTGTCTACTGGACCATGGCACTGAGTACCACAGCCAGCACTCAAATCATACACACTAGGGAAAAAAAGGAATGAAAAGGGGGAAGGAGAAGATCCAAATCAAGCCCAGAGCCACAGTGGAGAGCCTGGAGAAGGTGCAAGGAGCATTTCCCAGCTCGGTGCCCGTGGCAGTGCCCCACCTGCTCGTGTTGTCGTCGTCCTCGGAGTCGATGAAGCTGCTGGACTCCAGCTCACTGCTCATCATGGTGGAGGAGCTGTCGTAGCCAGGGGGGTGCTCACGGTGCCTGTCCAGCTTTGGGTGCCCATTGATCCGAGGGGCTGCCAAAAAATCACAGAGGGGGTGTTATCAGGCGGAGGGGAAGGGCAGGGAAGCAGCGGCACTGGGAGCAGCAGGACGGGCACAGCCACGGCTGCAGAGGACTCCTGTGCCAAAACCAAGCTGATCCCATTCAACAGCTGCAAAAATCTACTGTCCTGCCTTCTCCCTAACTTTTCCATCTGCCTGTGGCTCAGTTCATGGACAAGTCACAAATGGATTGAGGCAGAAGGAGGAGGCACCACCAACTACTGTAAAGGTATCAGCCATCAGTGAGAAGGGCCGTGAGAAGTTGGTGTCAGTGGGAAGGTACAAATAAAGCCCCTGGGAAAGCAGCAGGTAACACAATCTGAGTTTGGTAGCACAGAAAACCTTAAACAACAATCCTTATTTCTAGATATTCCAGAACAACCTGGTTTATGTAGATTAGAAGGGCTCACTATACCACTAATGCCTCCTGTTTATATTTTTTCCCTTTCCTTTATCCAGCTATATCTTCTCTGTTATATTTTAAACAGAGTTCAACTTCACATTTCATGTTTGAATTAGGTATTCTGCTACAGAAAAGCTCCCACGCACTGCTGCAGCAGCTAAAATTTATTTTATCAGCCACTTAAACTTCAATTTTAGCTCCATTTTATACATCCCAAACAGCACCAGGCAGCCTTGAACTCACAAGAAAGGTTTCCTGTGTAATTAAGGCGTGCATTTAAATACATAAAGTTTTCCCTAATTTCTCTACTCAAATAAAATTCCCTTTTCCAGCATAGTTTGGGGGCAGGGGAGGTCAGGAAACATAACTGAGTGAGTACTTTCACAAACCATGGTTATAAGGGGTTTATTCACAAAATACCCCCACATATGCAAGTTTTAAGTCCCAACAAGAATCATTCCCTGCTCTGGTTCAATGCCTGTCCCACTAATGACCAGGGACTTTCTGCCCTGCTGACCCCCTGCCCCTGTTTCTTCCTTGGAGGATGACAAGAGTTCACTGGGACCTTCTGACAAAAGCCTTGGAGTGTCTCACAGAGATGAGAATAAAGCATAGCCTGGGAGGGTAAAATGTGTCCTCCTTGACTTTTATCAACAGCAGAGTAGGCCCTGCCTGAGGGACAGAAGCACATCAAAGACCAAATCAAAGCAGCCTGGAAAGCAGAAAGGGAAGAGCAGCATCTGCTCAAGGAAGGTGTAAGGAGGGTTCTGTGATACTGCAGAGAACAAGGGTGTCTCAGGGAGAAGGCACATCCACGCTCCCAGTTAAGAGGAAAACCATCTGCCCTTCCAATCCCCTCCAGTGCAGAAAGTCTTTACCAGTTATTAACAGAAATATGTTCTCAGTTTCTCAATAAAGACTCGTAACTCCCCTGGGTGCAGGGCTCAGTCCCTGCTCTGGAAGTAGGGAAGAATGATCAGATTGTCCACTCCTGCTCTATGCTTGTACCCATATCCATGCCCTACCCCTGCATCCTGCTTTGCCTCGTGTTTGAAGTTCTTTGGAACCCTCAAACAGCCTCTAATCACTCCACCAAAGACGGGCTTCGAGTTCCCATTGCAACTGTTTTCTAGTTCCAGCCCTTCTTCAGATTCCTTGGCACACTCTGCAGTAAAAAAATCCATAGATTGCAGCACTGAGTGGAAACCTCCAACAGCTCCTCTTCCCAAACATTTGGGGATCTACAAGCCTGCCCACATGAAGAGCTTCTCAAGGCACAGGCCATTATGTGGCATTTTTCAGCTGCCTGCACCACAGTTAAGTTCACCCCACAGCAAACCTGGTGTCGAAACACCAGTGTCGACACTTGACATCTGCAGACTTGTCAGAGACCGAGCAGCAGCTCTAAAACATCCCTCAACGCCAAAGGAAACTTGTCCCTTAATTACCTCCCTAATTAGAGCCTCCCCAGGCCCCTTTCCCACTCCCCCTGAGCAGACTGACACGGGAGCTTTGTTCTCCACAGCCAGGGGTCCCCAGAACATGTGCCAGGCAGACCTCCCACGTCTCTAATTAAGATCCTCACTCTACTTTCACTTAACAGGACTTTGTCAACTTTCCAAAGCAACTTTTGTCGCTTGAAGAGACAAAGCAGAGCCCTGACATCCTGATTTCTTCTCCAGATCGGTTTTCCTGAAGATTTCCTGCACTGTCACAAACCTCCAAAAGCACGTGGTGGAACAAAAGAGTTTTGTTATGTTCCTCAAGCCACCACACTGTGGGTATCACTTGGAAATCAGAGAATATACAAGCACAGGAGAATTTACAAGCATTTATTGCCTCTGCATTTAAAAGAGGAGCATAATTTAAGGGAAATGGGTGGAAGAGCTTACAAATGCCCCAGCCTGTGTTGTTATCTGAGTGGATTCCTGGTCTAGCAAATCACAGCCCCTCTGCTGCAAAATCCTTTTGCATTTTCAGTATGGAAGAGGTGTGAAAACGTTGTCAGATCACCAGGTGTGTCCACATCTGCCAGGACCCTCAATATTTACAGTGGCCTCTCTCTGTGTGTCTGTAATTGCCCAGCAGCAATTCAGCAGAAACAGCTTTTTTGGGGATGAGTAATCCTGCAACAACGAAGGAAAACACACAGGCTGGTTTGGTGAACAACCCACCCATGATACCACACTTTTAATTACCACCTGGTTAACTTCCCATCACCCAGGCTCCAAATCAAACCTGAAAGCCTCTGTAAGAACCCCGCTGCTGTCCAAGCCCAGGCTGTCACACTGAAAGCTGGCAAAGCTTTTCAATAAAATCAGGAAATCATTTTTGCAAATTAAAACGGAAAGTAGGACAGAAAAATCTTCCTTTTGCTTCCTTTCTCTTCCCAGCCCTGGGGTTTTCCCAGGTCAGAACAAGATCCTCAGTTCTGTGGAGCCTCTCAGTCCCACAGTGCTCTGGGATCAGTGGACTCAGCCTCCTCGACCTGTTCAGGTTTTGGCTCGATGTGTCTGCACCTCTACAGCTCCCAAACGGCTCCTTAGCACCTTCTCTCACTTCACCTGTTGGAAGTGAAGGCTGTAACACACTGCTCATGTTTTCCCGAGGAACAAGTGCTCCTTTCCCTCTGCAGAGTATCCAGGGAAACCCTCACTGCCCGGGTAGGTTAATTCGTTTGTCCTTCTCTTTACACCAACGGGGAGCTCAAACACTCACACTTCACCCAACAATGAGCCCCAAATGAGTTGCAAACACTCGGTGCTCAGGTTATTGTTCAGCTGGCTGAGCCGGCAGGGCTGTCCCTGTGTCTCTGCAACAAACCTCTGAGTAATGCAGGGCTCCAAGGAGATCCCTCATCCTGCCCCTCCAAAACCACCAGAGCTGTAATTTTGGTATTATTCAAACGAGTCCCTGCAGGACCAGATCAAACACTCTCACTGCATTCCCTTCTTTCTGCAGGGAAAGGAGGATTTACCACTGTTTCATAATGACAAGCCCCTGGAAGAGCTGGGATCCAGGTGTCACACCCTGCTGCCCTTTCCCATCCTTGTTCCCCTTTCCCCAGGACTGCTCCCCCATTTTACATCCACCTGTGCTCCACACAAACAAGAAAAGAATAATCCCTGTGATGAAAAGGCCTTCAAATCCTTTCCAGAATTAGGGTATTTCACTTATTTTAGTATTTTCAAGTGGGACACAGTGCTCAACTGTGCACTTTAGGGATGCTCCCCACTGAAAACAACACACTGGGGTGTTATTGTATGTATTCTTTGTCATTACTGTCAAATAAAATATTGTTGTGACCACAGAAACACTGTGGGAATTAAACAATATATTTTGATGGTACAGCAGTTACTATTGTTTTATGCATGTTAACAAAACTCACCTGCTTCAGGTAGAAGGCCTGGATTGTTTAGAAAACAGGGAATGTTTGCATTACTGACATGTTATTGCCTGAGCTTTGACAGGAGGGGGAGGAAATTGTATCCCATTTTTTTCTAAAGAACTAGTTTCAGACCCCCCAAAGGCAGAAGCTCCTGTGCTCCAACAATCCCATATGAGCACTCCAGACTGTGGCCCCACACCATCCAACACCAGCTCTCAAGCCATGAATATCCACAGCAAAACATGCACTGGCACTGACTGAATGTTTAAAACAATTCCCCTTTTAACATCCTTCCCGTAACAAGTTTTTAACACAACCCTATTAAAAAATTCTGCCCCTTTCTGTGATTTCCCAAAGGAATTTGCAGTCAGGGTCATGCAGAGACACCCACTGAGGAATTTTCAGTCCTTCTGAACCAGTGACATGTTGGAAGGGTTAAATGAACAGGAAGACACCTGTTTTGCCCACAGTATATAGATGTGATTTCTGGTTTTCTAACTGCAGGCAAATACTTTAGTGGGTGGAGCTGTGAATAAAGATTGTGACAGCATCTCTTGGGCCCAAGTATTCCAAATTCTGGACCATTTTAAACTCAATGGGTGGCACCTATTAATTCTTAATTAAGCCTGGAAATTCTTGTCTGGCAACGAATGAAAAAAACCAAGCTTACTTTGATGTACAGACTAGAGGCAAGAGACGGAGTTCTGCAGTTTATTTGTGTACTTTGGGTGTATTTAGATATAAAAAAAGATCTCCAGAGCCAACGTTATATCGGCACAAAACACCACGGCTGATCTGAGCCTTGAGAAATGAACAGTTAGTCCTCTCCAAGTTACTCATCTTCAGAAAGCTCTGAATGTTGTCAAAAATAATCTCTCTGCCACTTTACTGCAGGTTGCCCAGACCTCTCAGAAAACGCAGAGCTTCAAAGGGTTTCAAAGCAATTATCAAATTATTCCATTAAAATAATCACAGTCCCTGAAAGCACGCAGGAACGCAGACACAGGTCTCCTTGCATGGCAAAAAGCAATTGTTGCTCTGAAAGACTGGCAGGAAAATTGTTCTTTCTGAATGAAGAAAAGGGGGATGGGGGGGGGGAATGAGCCAGGACTCACCATCCTCGTGCCCTTCCCTGTTCCTCCGCCGGTGCCTGTCCCGCCGGTGGCTGATGACTGACTCTGTCCCTGTGTCATTGTCCAGGCCATCCCTGCTGCTGGCAGCATTGGGGCTGTCACAGAACACAGAGGAACAAACACCAGGATCATCTCTTTTTTTCTCTCTTTCAGTAAAACAGTCGGTTCAGCAGCCAGAAAACTGTTCTTGCAGCCGAGCGCTGCACCCCCTTTCCTCCCCCAGCCTGGCTCTGCCCACCCCAAAAAACCACCTGGGGGGTGAAAACACAACTCCACATCCATGCCCTGAGACACACAGTGCTATTTTCAAACAGCACAAATATTATTCAAACAGCGAAAGCATTATTTTCAAATGCCCTCAGACACACGGTGCTATTTTCAAACAGTGCAAATGTTGTTCAAACAGTGAAAGGGTGATTTTCAAATGCCCTCAGACACACGGTGGGTGCTGTCTGCACCAGTATTTGCACATCACCATGAGGTGGGAAAAGCTGCCTGACAAGACTGTTGCCTGACATTTCCATAGGAAAGAGAGGTGCTGATGGGCCAAGGGGAGGGATCATTCTGGCACGTGCTGAGCTCCCAGCCAAAGGGCAGGAGCTACAGCTCGTTGGCCACTTTTAATATAGAGCACTGACCTTGAAGGTTGAAGTCCTGCAAGTCACAGCAAAGCTGAAAATAATTAAGTGCATAAAAGCACAGAATGCTCTGTGTTAAAAAGCTCATCCAGTCCCACCCCCTGCCATGGGCAGGGACACCTTCCACCAGCCCAGGTTGCTCCAAGCCCTGTCCAACTTGGCCTTGGACACTTCCAGGGAAGGGGCTGCCAGAGCTTCTCTGGGAATTCCATCCCAGCCCCTCACCACCCTCACAGCCTAGAATTCCCTCCCAATATCCCATCTAACCCTGCCCTCTGGCAGTTTGAAGCCATTCCCCCTTGTCCTCCTGCACTCCAGGCTCTTGTAAATTCTCTCTCTCCATCTCCTTCTGAGCTCCAGTGCTGGAAAAGGCCACAGATCACTTTAATGGATTAAACTGAGGGAAGTGACCTAAAGCTCCTGAAAATACAACAGTGTATGATGTGCCACACAGCTCTGCTGTGGAACATCACCCTTAGAAAGTTACTGGTCCTACTCTTCCTCTCTGCCCCTCAAACACCACCTGATTAAAAAGGACTCAGGACACAGGACTTCATACCTGTGCACCTGCTATTCGTGCCTGACACGCCCTCACTTATGCACACAGAGGGTGTAATGACCATCACTGACTGACACAAAGCACCAGAGGCACTCATGTATCACTCCCAGGACTCCCCGAGGCTGGAGAACACTGTCCTGAGTGTTTTACACAGGGAATTAAACCCCCAACCATCCAACCAACCTGTCCCTGGACCCAGGACTGGTTCTGGGTAAGCACAAGTGTGGAGTGTTATATTTAAGAGGCTTTTGTGCCTCCTGCACACCCACACACACTCTCTGGGCACGAAGGAAATAAATGTGCTGGCATGCCCACCACCGAAATGAGGAAATCAAGGTTGTCATTCGAGAAAACCTTTGCCTGCCCATCTGAAGCCCTGCCAAAAATGCCAGGCTGTGTTTCAGTGCTGTCACACGGCTGTTTGCACTTCTTGTTCAGCTGAAAAGGGGGAGAGGGGTGGCAGATCCCTCAGGTCACCCTGAGAGTCCCTTGGACATCCCAGCAGCACCATCTACTGACTCCGCTCATAATTCCCACTCCCAAATCGCTTCCTGGGCTAAACCCGCCCACAAAAGGTGGGTTATTCCCTAACAAAGGATGCAAAAGGAACTCCCAGCTGCCTTGTTTCCCCTCTCCCTGCTGAGCCAATTAAACCCAGCTCAGTTTGCAGAGCACATCCCCAAGAGCTGGCTGACAGAGGTCAGTGCTCTCACCTGGCTCCTGCACCTCCACCACCACACCAGGAGCAGCCTCACCCACTCCCAGGGATTTGCCAACCACCAAACAGAGCCTGAAATCCAGGATGAACTTCAGAACCCACATCAGGGAGGGGAAAAAGTTAAGTTCTACTTGGGTTTAATCAATGATTAATCAAAATATCAATGCTGTCAGGAGGTGGTTACCACTTCACCTCCAACAAGGACCTCATTATTCCCTTGGATGGCATCGCCTGCTGATGTTCCTGCTGCATCTATTCCCTGGATTCTTGGTTGTCCAGCAACATTTCTGTACAATTCTGTACAATTTCTGTGCAATTATACAACAGCTGGTACGTCTTTATTTATAAATAAGGCCTCAATCAACACTGGAGGAGGAAGGCAGGAGATGACATATCTCTGGCAGCTCGAATAGCATTAAAAAAAAATCTCAGGGATTTAGGACCCAAGAAGGTAAATCACACTTACTGCAGAATCACCACAGCAAAATCCCCAAGAAACATCATTTTCCAAAATTTCTGGAGGACAACAGTCACGATTCAGGTTTTGAAAGCCAGGCTTTACAATTAAAGACTTGGAGCAGCTCAACTGAAGCTTATCCAAGAGAAAGAAATCATTTCAAAACCCAGTGGATTCTTTACCGCTGGGAATCTTCAAGCCTGGAGTGGGGTGTCTTTTAAAATTAAATTCTAACAGTGAAACAGAATTTAGGGCTTCATGCAGAATAACTGAGTGAGATACTCTGTCCTGAGTTATGGATATAAACTCAGGCCACTATTTCATAAAACACAGCAGCAAAAACCACTGTAACACATTAAGATGTTCAATTGTGAACAGAAGAACCTAAAAAGGCATTAAGGGAGAGTAAGTTTTAGCCCAGATCATCTCCCCACAAGCCAGATTCTCTAATGCAAGAGAGAAAAAGAAAGAAAAAAAAGGGTGGAGAGAGAGTGTCTGACTTACAGGGTGGTTATTTTTTTACAATAAAGGTTGATCTTGCAGCTATTCCATGTAGGTTTAGGTCAGAAAGACAAAGAACTGGTTCTATTTTCTGGTCACATGCACTGGCACAGGCCTCTCCCAGGCAATTCATGAACACAGGAGGGCAGCACAGCCCTTGCAAGACACACTGGCAGGTATTTCCCAGGATTTCTTGTCCCCTCTGGAAGGCTTTTATCTGTACAAGACTCAAACACAACACTAAGGGTGTCAGTGATCCCAGAAATCAATGGCACCACCAGGCAAATCGAGGCCACGTTTCCTTCTCCAAACACGGGCTAAGATCTCAGTTAGAACCAGCTTTAAATCCTCCCTAAATTCCGAGGCCCTCCCTAAAAAATGAAGGTATTTTCAGGATCCCCATTGGCTCTGCACACAGAACAGGAAATAACGAGGCTCCCATGAAACCAGAGGACTCCCAGTCCGGCCACACACAGAGCTCTGGCACCCTCTGGATGGACCATGGACGAGGCATTATTCCTGATGGAAATTCTTCCTTCCTGATAGCAGCGTTCAGCTGGCTCTGCACACTCCATAATTACACACAACACCCTAATAAGTTGTCATCCATCATCCACCACAGAAAGCATTTTGGGCTCCCTCGCTGCTTAACTCTTCCACGACGGCTTCGAAAATGAGGTGGTTTGGATATTTATTTCATCCATTTCCCTTTTAATTCCTCGATATGTTATTTTTTTTATAACGACAACAACTGCGGCAGCAGGAGAAATAAACAGGCAGGAATTGCAATTTAATAAATAAATAAGATAATTTGCCCTTACTGGAAGGATGGAGGGCGGGAGTCTCCGATGCCTCCTGTTCTCTCGAGGGGTGGTGGAAGGTCTGTGTGGCTCTCAGTGCACTGGGAACCCGTGTCAGAGTGAGAACTTTCAGCCAGGACCAGCTGTCAAGAGAAAAAAAAAAAAAAGAGAATTTCCCACATTTGTAGCAGTTTCTCCACTCTGACATAGAGATTTTTCAGCCACTTTTGCTAAAAAACCTGGAGGGAAACCGGAGGGAAGGAAGTACACAGATTGCTGCCAAACCCCCACAAAATCAGGGTGCATTCCATCCCAACATGAAACCAGCAGCAGCCTGGGGTGTGCACAGAATTCCTGCAGGCCCCCCAAACTCTTCTCACCCTGGGAAAAGCAGCACAGCAGTCAGGGAGGGCACTTTTGGGGGACTCACATTGCAGGGCTATGCTCTCAGTCTGGCCCTGCCAGGCCAAGAGTAAAAAGGCAAAGCTGAAACTTGACAGTAGGACAGCCCAAAAGTGGCACAACTCCTTCTACAGACAGCTTCAAACCCCCTGAAAATCCACAACCTGGTCTGGCCCGACCTCCAGATCTCCGAGTTGCCTCTTAAGAGCCTGAATTAAACCCCAAATCCACCCAACCTCAACAGCCATACACTTTTAGAGGAGGACTAAGATTCCTGATGTTCATTCTACTCATCTCTTGTGCCTGTTTTGTCCCTCAGTGTTCCCTCAAGGCAGAGCTGCAGGTAGGAAAAGGCATTTTTCCAGCTGTGCCATAAAAACAAGATGTGCAGTGAGCGCTCTTCTGTAATTCATGAGGACCTGAAAACTCGGACAAAATGTGGAGCTGTCACCTTCAAAACTCCTCTGACACTGGCTTTTGCATTCCTGGAAGCCGGAGGGGCCTGGCAGCCTTTGAGCCAGGATGGAAGGAAAGGCTGCAGAGCACCCAACACACACAGAACCCACGTGGAAATTGGGAATTAAAGACACGCCGCGACAACCCATCTTCTCATTCTGAACACCACATGTCTACACAGAGCCTGGTGTGTTTGGGAATTGTTATAATTCCAGTCCTGTCACAAGGCTGGATGTAAATTCTGCCTGGAACAACTAATGCCATCAATACCCTCAATCATTAGCAGGGATGCTCCTGGATAATGGATCACAGGCACGGTCGTGGCACACGAGGGGTTCACCACACTCAGCCTTGTTCCCAATAAATTCAGGGCATCCATCTCCACTCAGCACTCCCAGTGTGACATCTTTAATCAGCAGATAAACAGACAAGAGAAAGAAGAATGATTCTCTTCCTCTCCCCACCCTCCTGGTTTGTGGCTCATTTTAATACATTGATTGACAGAGGATCTTAGATTTGACTAAGATCTGATTCCACCCACTTATCTACTGGCTAGTACCTACTTTTCTGTGTTTGACAAGGAAATAATAAGTATTTTAAAAAGGCAAGAGATGCTTTGTGTTCAAGTTTCCTTTTGTACACCCAGGTGAAACTGGTTTTCCACATTATTTTTGGTTTCAAATCTTCCTAGTGCTGGAAAAGAGCTCATGGCTGAAAGGAACACCCAGGAACCAAAGAGAGTCAATGGCTCAGTGAATATTTTATAATGAAATCAGCATTTTTGCCTCAATTTTCTAAGCTAGAAAGGCAGGATCCCACCAATTCTGCACAAGTGAGATGAAAGTCTAAATGCACCCTAAAGCCCAGGGGAGAAGAACCATTCACTGGGTGAAGCAGTACTACAGAAAAACAAACATGCACTGATCCAAGGCTCCCTTTAATTTATCTCTGCAAACAGAACAGGACGATTCCCAATTAGCAGTCCCAGTTCTAATTCAGCTTTACCTGCCAGGTTAAGTGGTTATATTTTATTTAAAAGCCTAAAAGGGGAGGAAGAGATCCCAGTTCTCTACTGTGCAAGCAGGAAGGCAGATGACCAACCTGAGAGGGTTTGTGCAAAATGAAAAGAGAATTCCATGAACTGAAGGACCGAGTTCTCGTTTTAAATGACTTTACAAAGAGTATTCTCCCATTAAACTGGGAGAATTTTGCATTTCCTATGCAAAAAGTGTGTTTTAACAGCCCATTGACCACTTTCTGGCCATGATCCACAGAAATTAGACTTGAACCAGTGATCTGGGGGTGACCAGGGTTATATCCTGTCACCAATCCCCTGAGCCCCCGAATCACTTGGCCAAGTCTCCTTAAACAATACAATTATAAGGTCTTTAATTAAATAAATGCTCAATTAATGATATAAATTAATACCTTTCACTGAGAGGCAACAGGGTCACAGCCTCCCTTTATTTTTAGCTGTGGAAGAACTGGGGTATAAAAGAGGTCCCAACAATAACTGGTTAACTTATTGAGGACTAATTCTAATTTAATGATCAGATGGATGCTGGCTGTTAAAGAAAGGGATGGAGAAGGAGCAGGATAGGAGGGGACTGGCATTCCAGATGCAGGGCATTATTCCTGAGAGCATAAACCATAAATATGAGAAGGGAAACACACACAGGCTGTCAAAAAGGAACTGCCTGGAGACAAAACAGTTCTCCAGCACCACATGGAGTCAGCTGCATTATTCAAACTCTTTATCACCAAAGCAAAGAGCAACAGAGGAAACACTGAAGGGAAAAAACAACACAAGCTTTTTCCTAATAACTTGATAATTAAGGCTTTCTTTCTTTCAGGTGGGGGAGTTAAAGGGAGATGTTTAGAAACTATTGTTGGCATTCTGGAGATGCAAGGATGGCTCATCCCCTGAGGAATCTCTCCTCGCTGCCAAAATCAAACCAGGGGATAAAAAGAAGAAAAAAGAAAAGAGGGGAAAAAAAAAAGAAAAGAGATGAAACCGGGTGTGTAAGTGAGATCTACACATCCCCTCACCCTCCACGCTCTGGATTGTAGCAAGCTCTGCAAACAAGCACTTGGCACCACGAGGTTTTTGGGAGCAGGGAAACACGTTCCTGCTTTGGGCCTTTGGCAACACCTGACTCCAAGACAAATCCCTTCCATATCTCTGGGTATTTGCTCTTGAGCCTTTCCCTGCTCCTGGAGGGAGAAGCCTTGGCAATGCAGGACCCAGCAAACCCATTTGTGTAAAATGAAAAGAGAATTCCACGAACTGAAGGACCGAGTTCTCATTTTAAATGACTTTACAAAGGGTATTCTCCCGTTAAACTGGGAGAATTTTGCATTTCCTGTGCAAAAAGTGTGTTTCAACAGCCCACTGACCACTTTCTGGCCATTGATCCACAGAAATAAGAATTGAGAAGTTAGTTTGTGGAGGCAAACCCAGCTGCTGGAGGCTGTGGGTCACCCTGGGAGTGCTGCTGAGCAGGGGCAAAATCCACCCCAGCAAAGCAACTCCTCGGGAATATTTCCCCCAGGGCTGTGATTTCCTCAAGGATGAGGCACTGGGTACCCACTTCTTACTGACCTGCAGTGGGATTAGAGTCACAAACGCCCTCAGACACTGCCATTACCATCACAAAGGGAAAAAGAGCTGCAAAAAATTACCCACACTGCTCTTTCAGGAATTAAATCACCTTGAACTTGAATCAGTTCAGCACCAGACAGAGTGAACTCGAGATACATTTGAACTTAAAAAACCACACTGGCAATATATCCCCTGTTTCTGAGCAGCTTGTTAATCCCAGATAAACATCTTTCACATTTCAAGCAGCAAATCACAAGCACAACAGCCACGATGATAACGTGGTGGCCAGCGCAGATATTCCCATGTTTACCTCCCCAAAATAAGATCCAAGTTGTGCTGCCTGTGCTGCTGGTCACAGGCACTTCCACACAAAGCACACTTTAATTCACAGACACATCCTTCGGGGTGAAATTTTGCCCCTGAGGAATAATAATAAATAAATAAATAAATAAATAAATAAATAAATAAATAAATAATAATAATATGATAAATAATAATAACAAATAAATGAACCCAGGAGTGTAACAGTTTAAATAAAGTTGCCTAAGGTGATCTTACTCTTATGATAAGCAGGACCTGGGAGCTCCTGCAAGAGGACCCGACTTCAGAGGTTTAGGCAATTAAGATCTTGAAGCAATTAAGTTGTTAAAACAAGACACAGACTGTCCACATCTATGTCTGGCTACAAGTGGAGCACTTGCCCTTCATCAAAGCTTTCCTTCTTGACTTACAGATCCCTGTGTTCAAGAGCACTGAATATAAATGGAGGGCTGCAGACCAAATTAAAAAAAAAAACCAACAAAAAACCCAGAAACCACCCCAAAAGAGCATCAGAACAACATCTGTTGGGCTAGAAAAGAAAATCTGCAGCAGAAGATGGCACATGCAGCAAGATTATTCTGACTGCACTGCCTGGTTTATTCTTCCCATGTGTCCAAGGGATCAGAAAGGTGGTGGAACACCTGACTCCACGGAATGCTGGGCTCAGCTGGTGCTTTGTGGTGGGCACAGCCCTGCCTCTCTCAAGGCAGGTGAGGATTTATCAGTGACTGAAGAAGCAGAAGAATTCTGAGGGTGGGTGGGTGTGCACTCGAGAGAATTCACAGGTCCTTGCCCTGGCAATTCCAACGTGGAATTGCTGCTCCCTGCTTTGCTGGGCCACCTAAAGCCCCTCATTTCTCCCACCAACAAGTGACAGGCTGTAAATCATTATTAAGCTAAATTCTGTCCTTTTCTTTGGCGGGAACAAAGCCCTCCAATCTCCCACCCCTTTGAGTGGCAGAGGTAACTCACCCCTGGGCTGCCCCAACACAGACTGGCCAGTGTTTGCAGGAGAAAGGCAGTGCCACAGGCAGCTCCCTGGCCAGGGGCCAGCCCTGATAATTACATTTCACCCCTCAAACCCCCCCCCCTGCAGTTTTTTGAGTGGCAGGAGCATTTTAATGGGTTTCTCTCTCCTGTGCTGCTCAGGATCGTGCCTGTGGGCTGGGAAACAGCTGTTGGGTTCCACCCAAAGGACTGCATTTCCATGTGAAACGGGGGATGTCTCCCGTGTGGGGCACATGGAGGAAGTTAATAAAGAAGCGTGGAACTAATTGCAACTGTTGATTCAGCTCATTCCATCCCACTGAACGCTGTTTGTTTTGTCCCACCGTCACACTCCCCGCTAAAATCTTTCCCAGG